CAAACAAACAAAAAGAAAATGCCTTTGAATTAAGTGGTCTTCTGTCTTCGCTGAGGAAATGCAGCTGACTCTGGTCTAGAGCCATAGCCGTCCCTACGTATGAGTGAACTGGAATCTGAGCACAGGTCTGAATCCTGCATCACGCTGAGGCAGCGGGTGCGGGGCAGCGTGTGTCTGGCTCTGCGGTGACTGCTCCTGTAATGAGCTGTCCTGCAGTGACTGATCCTCGAAACGAGGAGAATCAATCTTTATGTCAGTTCTGAAGTCCTTCTTCGGCGTTGTTACAAAGGAGGAGTTGACAGAGCCGTGTGTCAGCGTGGTAGCAGGAGATGTGAAGGCAGGCAGGGAAAACGAAGCACAGTTGTATTATCTGTGGATCTGCTATAAGCCCTATTTGCCATCGGTTTGGACGGTTGCCTAGTACCCAAGGGATGATGTAAGAAGTTCACAGGACCTGTGATTTCCATTCAAAGAAACAAACATACCTTAAAAGGCTTTGGGAAATAGAAATGAGGAAAATTTGTAATGTCAAAGTATAAAAAGTCTACTGACACTTAAGAGTGCTTCACTTAAGAGTATGACCCCAGGGTGCATCTATTTAGCTACAGATGTGTCAAGCTTACCCGTCTTTTTGCAGAGTAGTACTCCATTGTATAAAAAAACCTTCATTCATCAGTTGACGACTGTACTCTTAAGGGAAATAAATCGGACACACGTGTAAATACAACATTGTCTCTCTGGTGTGAGAAACCAGAAGTATAAATAAGGACCAAAATGTGTAATAGATATTGTGAAATAGGAAGAAAATATTCACATGGGAAGGGGAGCTAGAGCGGAGGGAGGGGGAGAGGAAGGAGGAGAAAAGAAAAAATGATGAAAAAATGGAAACAAAGCTTGTGTAAATAAGGAAGGGAAGAGGAGCTGAAGGGAGGGGAGGGGAATGAGGGAAGAAAGAAGTGTGTATCATGCACAGGCACGAATTCCCTATAATGAACGTGACCATTCTGTATACCTAAAATGTGCCAATCAGCTTAATTAATAAAAAGACTGTTTTCATTGTTCCTGGCCTTGTACATTTAATCATGCTTTTTTATTTTGTGTAAAAGCTGAGTTTCAGAAGTAGAATACCTTTATGTGGCACTTGAGAATTTAATGCATTAAGCAGCTGGGAATAAGGTTTGAGGCATTTCATTTTCCACAAACGCTAAAGCATTTCGTATTTCAGCAAGGCCAGTCTTCTGAAACTGAAATGAATGTTGTGCTGAAAGTTTTCATTATTTTTAAGTTACTCAAACCTTTTATAAATACATCTGAAAATATTTCCTCTTTAATAATATAGTAATGTCACACTTCAATACAATTTTTTGTTACAAGAAGTTATTTTTAAAAAAGCCCACAGACTGGGCTGCATGTTGAGTTCAAGGCCAGCCTGAATTACATAGTGAGACACTATTAAAAAAATGTCCATAGATATCTCAAAGTAGAACTACTAACACCTATCAGCTTTAGAAGAAATAAGCAGACTTACTACCATAAACAAAAATCTTTAAAATACGTAGTGGGTAAACTGAAAATTAAGTCCCTCATCAGTCTTCTACCATCTGGAAAACAGTGCTCTTTGCAGTCTTTATCTTCATATCCCTGAGGTTTAATGATTTATTGTGACATACCTTGAAGATTTATTATGAAAGCAACAGTCCGGTCTCATACTGCACAGTTGGAAAGTGACTGACAAAGGCTCTGAAGCTCCTTCGACTTTAGTGTTGGCTGTTTCTCAGGCAGCTGCTGGTAAACCTTTATTTCTTTGCCCGCAGTACATAGGATGGTGGATGGAGAAGCACATGGCCGTGCCCGCCACTTCTCACCTCCTTGGACTCATGTGAATTGATTCACTGATTGATGGGTCATTCATAAATGATCCTCAAAACAGTGCTGGAACCCCTGCATCAGCCTTGATGCATTTAAATATCTGGATCTGTTATGCAGTGACTTGATCTGTTTTCTCTGATTCCCCGTATTACTGAAGTGTGATTTATATGTGACACCTTTTTCACATA